TTCGGTTTTCAGAACATTAAAACTACAAGTTTCTATGCATTTTATTTATTAATTATTTCTCCCATTAAGTCTCTTTCTTGAAAATAAAACAATTTTCATTAAATTTAAAGAGTTCATTGGATTTGTATAAAAAATTTGTTCTTTATATTCAGAAATTAATGAAAAGACTCTTTATTTATATGAAAAATATTTTTTAAAACAAAGAGCACCATTGGAAATGCTCTAAAAGACTTTATAGTAGTATTTTTATTATATTCTCGAAATTTCTCAGATTAAAATGTTCTACCATAATTTTATGAAGATTATCTATTTGAGTTATAAAATATCATTTTAGTTTAATTAATTACATCCAATCGTATTTAAATATAATCCTAATTATATTAATATCAAAACGTCATAATTAAAGAATTACCAAATATATATAATATGCGTGTCTTTTATTTTATTTTAATTGCTCATCGATTCTTTTATCTTATTTTATGGAATTTTCTTAGGAATTAAACTCTTATAATTTCTGAAAAAAGATTATTAATATGGGTGTGAGATTAGTAATGTAAAGGGTATATTTTATGTTTGATATTGTCAAATACTATGTTAATTATTAGTCTTATTTTTCATATATCATACTTTAATTTTATCAATATTAATATTGTATGTCATATCATGTTTGATTAAAGACAAGAACTATGGAGTTATACCATTATATAAATAAGATAGTACTATATATTGAGGTATAATAAAATTAAGAGGTGTTAAATTAATTGTTGATTAAGTGATAAATAAGCAAACACCAACGAGTGTCGACTTCAAGCCTTGGTGGTGCCTCCAGAAGAAAATAAATGAAGAGGTAGAGGTGAAAATACACCTCATTCCATGTTGTTGACAGAAGGATATATAGAAATTATTTTGGACCCTTCACTTCTTTATTGAATTGAAAAGGTAAGGCTGGTCAACATTACTTGTATATCTAACAAGAGTAGCCCTTATTATTTTTAGATTCCATAATAAAGCTCGGCATCATATGATATACAATGTATCCAAGAGTGATGTGTTTAATATTATTGATTAAAGGTAAAATATTTTTATGCCAAAATATAAATATTTAATTAACAATAATTTTGAATATATTATTGCACAAAGATAATATGGGTAGCAAAATGTTTAAGAATTTAAATACAGCCTAGGTGTTGAAATTTCACTTGATGTATGGTGGTTGGAGGGAATGTTATTTGCTAGTTTACTTCATGGAAGGTAGTTTTTCAAGGGTTATCTTAATGAGTGGACTAAAGAAATTCGATTTTATAATAACAAATTTATCTTTGTATTTGTTGGTGGCCATTTTTGTCAAGGACTAGGACAAAACAGAGCTACAAATGGGCCTTACTTGTCAATGTGACATTCTCTAACATGTAAGCCCCTGACATTTTCATAGATAAGCCCAACACTTTTTGCTTTAAAGCCCATCAAAAGATATCAATCTCTTATTTCAAAACCAAGGATCCTACCAACATCATTTCACAGGATTTTCTGTAACAAGAGGCCCAAATCTGTCTCAACGAAAGATATGGCCGAGAGTAAGTATTCTTATCTCTTTTTTAGGCCAATGGACCCAAGTCACCTTTGTCAGGTTACGATATGGTGGTATTAAAGCATCCTAAGAAGCCTATTGGGCCCATTTGAGGGATCAATAAGTGTAAAAGTCAATTTTCTTAAAAACCCAAGGAGAAATAATTTTCAATCTCCCAAACTCATGTTAGTCCTAAGACACTGTCTTTCACAAATATGGGCAGTAGAATGACAATTTTACTCCTTGGAGGACAAAAGTCAAAAATTTCACAAACCAGTTTTTTTTTTTTTTTTTTTTTTTTTTTAACATTTATTAAAACACTTGCATAGCCTTGGTTTCAAATCTCATATTTTTATCATCCATTTTCTATTTTCTACAAATTTCACGAGATTTATGTCTTTATGACGTTTTCATGTTCTTCATAATTCTCCTATCAAATATTTCTTAAGCATTATTAGAGTCTCCAAAACTACCAAAAAATCTTTTCAAAGGTTTCATATGCATTAAAACACTTCTATTCATTCAATTCTGCATAAAAAAAAAAACCGCAAGGGCATTTCAATAAATTCCTTTGTCATTTTTTATTAAATGCTTTAATTTTTTTATTTTATTTTTCATGAAGAGATAAATCCTCGTTATCAACCAAATTATTAAAACCCGAATTTGTTTTAGATTGATTATATTTTTAGCATTTATCCTTTATTTTATGCATTTATCTCCTTTTTATAATTATAAATTATCTTCCAAGAATATTTATCATAAAACATCTCAAAATTTATTTTGATTAAAATCATTAAAATTATCCTATTTTTATTTATTTCAAATCCAATGAATCTAGAGGAACATTGAAAGAACTCTTTCTATGATATCTGTTATCAATTGAAGATTAAAATCATTACATCTTGAACAACATAATATTCAACTTACCAAATAAACTTGTATTGACACAATAAATGTTCTCTAGATTGCATTGGGATAAATATGAGAGGAGAACTCTTACTTGCTCTGTTAATCATCTGTGTAGGAGTTATAATGTGAGGAACAGGTTCAAGTGCAGCTTCAATACCCCTTGCCAAAGAGATAATAATCGGCAGGTAATTCTCTCCTTCCAATAATGACTTATCTCTTCAAACACCTGCGTGTTTCAGTTGAAGGCAACCCATTCACTACAATATCAGCATCCCAAACAGCTTCCTGCAAATAGTGACAACCTTCAAAGGACACAGCGGGGTGTCAATCATGTTCCAAGCAAAGCCATCTTTCAAAATCTCATCTGCATAAAGAGTGCGATCGCCTAGTCTTGCCTCAACATACTTCAAATAGGCACAGCGCCGTATCAACCTCCTTAATACATCCTCCCTCGAATTTATCACTTCAAAGAGATGTTCTGCGGTGGCTTATCGACAGCTTTCCAGGCCTTCTCCAAATCCTGATCTGGACCTTCTCCCGGAACTGACCTAGTATCTGCAACAAAGCAGCAAAAACACTACCCAAGCACCAGCTCCAACACTAACAATCCTCAATGGATCACCATCAGCCTTGCCAAGAAAGCGCCGTAACTCATCAAGCTTCTCTTCCATACAATTACCATTCTGATAGTCCCATTTGAGTACAAATTTTGATTCATCACCTCAATACTTCCCACCATCTTTTTACAACCAAGAATTCAACTATTCAACAATAACAATGGAACTCAAAACCTTCAATTATAAGTTACTACTACTGAAAACTTTCCAATTATTTCAACAAGTCGTTCAAGTTGATGCTAAATCTTTCTAACTATAACAAATCTGAAAACAAACCAATTGAGATTTTATACAAGTCTGACACTGCTTAATTCTTTACTGAACCCAACAAATCCCACTTCCCAATCCAAAGAAAAAAAATCTCTATTGGTAGATTGTTTCACCAAAAACAGAACTAATCCACCGCCCAGCTTCTACACCAACCAATCAAGAAACTTGGGAACCTACAAAATTAAAAGATGGCAAAAATGAATGAATCTCTCTATTTACTTATAGTTCAAAGCACATGACAAAAAGAGAAATTTTATATTCAAAATAGGCATGTTTTCTCCGTCTGGAGTGTTCATCTACCCACCCGTAAACTTCAAAGAAAAGATTAAAAAACAAAACTTCATAATAAAAGCTTGGATAAATAATTTCACAAAGAAAAGATTATCAAATACAAATTTTCGTGTCGGTAACCACAAAGCTTTTTGGTGTCATCAAAATAAGCGGTTTATAAATAATTTCATTTTCTTTAACAGTGGAGACTCGACACCCACTTAGTGTATTATATATAAGATATATATATATAGATATATATATATAGCTTCAACTTGAATTACTTGGAGGGAAATGCAGAGACCAAACACAGAGATAATATGTGAAGTGCATAAAAGTGCATGTAATATAAATTGCAAGGGAGAAAAAAACTGGTGAGGTCAGCAAACCAGACAAAAGTTTCCGTTTATTTTTATGTTACAGTGATCAGAGTGATCAATTTAATCCAAATTTTTTCAATTGAACGTTAGCTAATGGTTTGCTTAAATTGTGATAAAGTTAAATTTAAAAATAAGTAATAGACATAGTGCGTGGTGAAATATAAATTTTTATAGCATTTCTCTAGGTTGTAAATAAATTATTAGGGGAACTGCGATAGTGTAGGAGTGGAGTTACGGAAAGAGCATTAATGGATAGTTGAGTAATAAAGAGGTGCCAACCCTTCAACGGTCATTAATATTTGGACGACTCTCTTATCTCGCATTTCCACCAACATTATCAGCCTTCACTCTTCCATTATTATATCACACTCCTACTTTGTCTATCATTTTAATGTGTATTTTTAAATTAATTTACATATCTTTAAATAACATTAAAACTCTTTATATAAAGAGTTCATCTATAAAAAAAACTCCAACAGCTTTTATCCATATAAATTAAAGAATGAGTTTGGTCTCCACATCTAACAAATTAAATTTCATTTTCTATCCTAATTTATTAATAATTTTATTAATGTTCTAAAAAACCGAACGAACAAGTCGGCAACTAGGAAACGACAGTCTCTTAATCCGTTGAGGTTCCAAGGGGGATTTTATATTTCAAACATTCTTGGCTAATTTTTATAATATTTCAAAACTTTAGGGACTAATTAATTTTTGGGAATTTTTGAAATATATTAAATTTTGGGAAATTGTATTTTTTAGGGTTTTTATAAATATATAAAATTAAAGGACCAATTTGCCAGGGAAAATTTATACTCACCAGTTGAGATTTATAAATATATTAAAATTCCCTTTTTATATGGGTATTTTTAGGATTCTTACCACCGGTGATTCAAGTATACAATTAAGTCTTGAGGAAATATTTAGACCTTATGGTCTGCTCACTCCATTTCAATAATCATAAACGACTAAAAACATTAGACAAAATCAATTACTAGCTTTCAATATATCAAGACAAATACAGAGTTCATTACAAAACCAGTATGTTTGTGTTCAATGTTTGAACAGTTGCTTCTATATAATTATATGTTTTCCCAACACCACTTCTGCCATGCCATATAAATACTCATGGCTGGCCAAGAAGTGAAGGCCTGTAGAAAGCATGGCTCTGCGCAATCTCAATGCGTTCTCGCGGATCATTTAAGGTTTCATCCCTCAGTGCTTTCAGAATAGCTTGTGATGACTGCTCCCTGAATCCCAGATAAATCACAAACAAACTAGAGTTATTTCTACTAATTCGATAAAGGACTGGGAAGCAAAGTTCTTTGGAATAGTAAAACTAAAATATATACGCAATCGAGGCATTTGCATTCAATCATGGGAATTAAGAAATTATGTACCTTATTATAAGTACTTTGTAGAGCGTCTTTAAGATGGGGCAAAGCTCAACCGGAGCAACAGGCTTATTTTCTTCTGGATGTAAGACACTTAGGCTTGATTGACTAAGAAGTTCATAGAATGCTCTCACTGCAGAGACACCCTGGAAAAGTCATAAAAGAAAATGCAGTTTTAGCATTATATTACTTAGCAAACTTAAATGGGAAAAGAAAAACTACATAGAACTGCGATAACGGTCCAAGTTTATAATGATGATTGCATATAAGCATAACAAACATCATAAAATTTGCCTCATCTGACTTTGTCAGCTCTTCCTTTTCTGTGATTTCATTTAGTAATAATACAAATGAAGACAAAATTCCAATGCTACGGCATTGATTGCATAGTTATTTAGAAAATGAAACAATTAGTCAGAAGATCATGTTTTTGTTAAATGGCCATTTGTTAGGATTAACTGATTGCATATGCACTTCACCAGATAAATCAAAATTAGTACCTGAATCATTCCTTTGCCACTGATGCTGTCACCCATATCCCGGCTTAGTTCGCCCTTGGCTAACATTTGCCCATACCACGCATTACGACCTTTTAACAAGGTTACATATGTGTCAGCCAGCAAAGGCCCTGCAAGCTTCTCAGGCTCTTCCGCCAATAAATGTGTAATAAATATCATCTCGGATGTACAATGTGCAAAGTATACTGATTTGCTGGTAGCACTCTCTTTGGTAAGAGCAGCAACCATTCCTGAAAAAATTTAACAGAAAATGGATTTGTTGCTCCAAAAGATAAAGCAAGTATTATTAGTATTAAATACTTGAAAGAGTTCATTATACTATCTTATTCCTGTTTTATCACATTTTACTTCAAACTTTAGATTTTCAGGACCTTTATCTCACAATGTTATTTCTATAGTGTAGAATCAAGGTTAATGCTATTCTTTCGCTGTCTACAATTACAGTTGAGTCTTTTGTTTTCACAGATCCATGATGTGACTGATTGCCTCCTAACTAATATCAAAAAGCTATTTTGGAAAACATTAGGAACTTAATGACCACCAAAACTTGTTTCTTCAAATGAACCGTGCATCTGATAATGTTGTCACAGATACCTAGTGTTTGATGCATGATATGATGGTTACTAAATTTCTAAATAGGGTTGTTTAGATCATCTTGATTTCTAGCTGGCAAAATTAAATGCAGAAAAAATAATATCCTTAGATCCCAGTATGATTGAGTTTTGAAGCACAGGCCATAAGGCACGGCTTTTTTATTAGTATTGCATCCTAGCCTGAATTTTTCGTTGTGTTCTCTGAATGAATCTTTCTAATAGGAAATGCAAAGAAATTCAGATCCGACTCTACTTTCTGTCCTATGGGTGCTACACCGCCTTCTTGAAATGCAAAGTTCAGCAAACCGATTTTTCAATCATTTCCATGAGAACAGAATATAGAAACTAGAACAAGAAACAAGAATATCATAAAGAAATATAACCATTATAACAGAGCTACTGTTGGTTTTGAAGCCATACTTTACTTTTATTCGCCTAAAAGAAATGACACTCACCAGCTCCAATGGCATAGACGTTCTTCAAACCGCCCATGACTTCATGAGTGACAAGGTCACTATTGTCCCATACAACAAAATGGGGTTGCCTCAGAAATTTTGCAAGAGGCTTCCTCCACTTTTCAACTCCACATATTCGAGCATTAGCATATTCTTTGTTATAAATCTCAGAGGCAATGTTTGGTCCACCAAGATAAAGTATGTTTTCTGTGGGTACACCAGCTGCAAGGGCGAGGCAAATAAATGAACAACATATAAGTTCCCTATTACAAATAGCGGAAAAATATCATGAATGATCGGGGAAGGGAAAGGAGTTATGCTTACCGTAACATTGAAAGAACTCTTTCTATGATATCTTGTTATCAATTGAAGATTAAAATCATTACATCTTGAACAACATAATATTCAACTTACCAAATAAACTTGTATTGACACAATAAATGTTCTCTAGATTGCATTGGGATAAATATGAGAGGAGAACTCTTACTTGCTCTGTTAATCATCTGTGTAGGAGTTATAATGTGAGGAACAGGTTCAAGTGCAGCTTCAATACCCTTTGCCAAAGAGATAATAATCGGCACGGTAATTCTCTCCTTCCAATAATGACTTATCTCTTCAAACACCTCGCGTGTTTCAGTTGAAGGCAACCCATTCACTACAATATCAGCATCCCAAACAGCTTCCTGCAAATTAGTGACAACCTTCAAAGGACACAGCGGGGTGTCAATCATGTTCAAGCAAAAGCCATCTTTCAAAATCTCATCTGCATAAAGAGTGCGATCGCCTAGTCTTGCCTCAACATACTTCAAATAGGCACAGCGCCGTATCAACCTCCTTAATACATCCTCCCTCGAATTTATCACTTCAAAGAGATGTTCTGCGGTGGCTCTATCGACAGCTCTTCCAGGCCTTCTCCAAATCCTGATCTGGACCTTCTCCCGGAACTGACCATAGCTATCTTGCAACAAAGCAGCAAAAACACTACCCCAAGCACCAGCTCCAACACTAACAATCCTCAATGGATCACCATCAGCCTTGCCAAGAAAGCGCCGTAACTCATCAAGCTTCTCTTCCATACAATTACCATTCTGAATAGTCCCATTTGAGTACAAATTTTGATTCATCACCTCAATACTTCCAACCATCTTCTTACAACCAAGAATTCAACTATTCAACAATAACAATGGAAACTCAAAACCTTCAATTATAAGTGTACTACTACTGAAAACTTTCCAATTATTTCAACAAGTCGTTCAAGTTGATGCTAAATCTTTCTCAACTATAACAAATTCTGAAAACAAACCAATTGAGATTTTATACAAGTCTGACACTGCTTAATTCTTTACTTGAACCCAACAAAATCCCACTTCCCAAATCCAAAGAAAAAAAATCTTATTGGTAGATTGTTTCACCAAAAACAGAACTAACCGCCCAGCTTCTCACACCAACCAATCAAGAAACTTGGGAACCTTACAAAATTAAAAGATGGCAAAAATGAATGAATCTCTCTATTTTCTTATAGTTTCAAAGCACATGACAAAAAGAGAAATGTTAATATTCAAATATAGGCATTGTTTTCTCCGTCTGGAGTTTGTTCATCTACCCACCTGTAAACTTCAAAAGAAAAGATTAAAAAAACAAAACTTCATAAATAAAAGCTTGGATAAATAATTTCACAAAGAAAAGATTAGTCAAATACAAATCTTGTCGTGTCGGTAACCACAAAGCTTTTTGGTGTCATCAAAATAAGCGGTTTATAAATAATTTCATTTTCTTTAACAGTGGAGACTCGACACCCACTTAGTATATATATATATATAGATATATATACATAGGCTTCAACTTGAATTTCAATTGCATTACTTGGAGGGAAATGCATGAGACCAAACACAGAGATAATATGTGAAGTGCATAAAAGGTGCATGTAATATAAATTGCAAGGGAGAAAAAAACTGGTGAGGTCAGCAAACCAAGACAAAAGTTTCCGTTTATTTTTATGTTTACAGTGATCAAGTATCAATTTAATCCAATATTTTTTTGCTTAAATTGTCTAAATTTAAAAATAATGTAATAGACATAGTGCGTGTGAAATTGAGAATTTTTATAGCATTTCTCTAGGTTGTAAATAAATTATATTAGTGCCGAATGCCGATAGCGGTAGTGAGTTACGGCATTAAATGATACGGTTGAGTAATAAAGAGGTGCCAACTCTCTCAACGGTCATTAATATTTGGACGACTCTCTTATCTTCCACCCAACATTATCACTCTTCTATTATTATATCACACTACTTCTACTTTGTCCTATCATTTAATGTGTATTTATTAAATTAATTTACATATCAATTTATATAATAATATCTCTAAACAACTCTTTATATAATTTTAAAGAGTCTATTTATAAAAACAAAACTCCAACAAAATTTTTATTCTTTAAATATAACTTAAAAGAATGAGTTTGGTTCTCCACATCTAACGAGTTAAATTTCACTCTCTATCCTAATTTTAATTAATGTTTTACTAATGTTCCAAAAATCGGACCGAACAAGCCGGTCGGACTAGGAACCGACAGTCTCTTTGATCCGGTTGAGGTTCCAAGGAGGCATTTTCTATATTTCAAACATATAGGGGTTAATTTGTAATTTTCTAGAGGTATTTTTTTAATATTTCAAAACTTTAGGGACTAATTAATTTTTTGGGAATTTTTTGAAATATATTAAATTTTTTTTTAGGGTATTTTATAATATATAAAATTTAAAGGACTAATTTGCAGAATTTAAAAAAAAATTGGAAAGCTTACGTCGTCGGTCTAACCGATCGAACCAGTAAAACCATGAACCAGACCCTTAATCGGGTCAAGGCCCGGTTCAGTTTTCAGAACATTAAAATTACAAGTTTCTATGCAATTTATTTATTAATTATCTCTTCCATTAAGTCTCTTTCTTGAAAATAAACTATTTTCATTAAATTTAAAGAGTTCATTGGATTTGTATAAAAAATTTGTTCTTTATGTTAAGAAATTAATAAAATGATCTTTATTTATATGAAAAATATTTTTTAAAACAAAGAGAACCATTGGAAATGTTCTAAAAGACTTTATAGTAGTATTTTTATTATATTATCGAAATTTCTCGGATTAAAATGTTTTGCCATAATTTTATGAAGATTATCTATTTGAGTTATAAGATATCCTTTTAGTTTAATTAATTATATCCAATCATATTTAAATATAATGGTAATTATATTAATATCAAAAAGTCATAATTAAAGAATTACCAATTATATATAATATGCATGTCTTTTATTTTATTTTAATTGCTCATCGATTCTTTGATGTTATTTGATGGAATTTTCTTAGGATATTAAACTCTTATTATTTGTGAATAAAGATTATTAATATGGGTATGAGATTAGTAATGTGAAGGGTATATTTTATGTTAATTATTAGTGTTATTTTTCATATATCATACTTTAATTTTATCAATATTAATATTGTATGTCATATCATGTTTGATTAAAGACAAGAACTATGGAGTTATAAATAAGATAGTACTATATATTGAGGTATAATAAAATTAAGAGGTGTTAAATTAATTGGTGATAAATAAGCAAACAGCAACGAGTGTGAACTTCAAGTCTTGGTGGTGCAAATAAATGAAGAGGTAGAGCTGACAGAAGGATATATAGAAATTATTTTGGACCCTTCACATCTTTATTGAATTGAAAAGGTAAGGTAGGTCAACATTACTTGTATATCTAACAAGAGTAGCCCTTATTATTTTTAGATTCCATTATAAAGCCCGGCATCATATGATATACAATGTATCCAAGAGTGATGTGTTTAATATTATTGATTAAAGGTAAAATATTTTTATGCCAAAATACAAATATTTAATTAACAATAATTTTGAATATATTATTGCACAAAGATAATATGGGTGACAACTTTCACAAAGATATGCAGGCTCCACAGATCAATGGCCTAAAATGAAACAACAAGAGTAAGTATTCTTGCTTACGATATGGTGGTATTAAAGCATCCAAAGAGCCTATTGGGCCATTTGAGGGATCAATAAGTGTAAAAGTCAATTTTCTTAAAAACCAAGAGAGAAATAATTTTCAAACTCCTATCTTTCACAAATATGGGCATTAAAATGACAATTTTACTGGATATTACAACACCAATATTTTGTATCTAAGTTCACAATGCACGCTTTACCAAAAGACTTGCACATATCTCCTTTGTAATTTGACCTTTTCAATTTTGTTATGGAAGTTTCTCCTTCATTTCAAACATGATCTATGATCAACTAAAGTAAATTATAGTAGCACATTTCATCAAATGCATGTTTAGTCCAATGTATATATAGCGAGGTAATTGACTCCAAAACGGTGGTGAAGTCTTGATAGTTTGTTGCCTCCCACGATAACTTTCTTAATTTTATAGATATGCATTGACATAATCTTTTTGTTGCATATGGCTCTATATATCTCTCTCACTATCGCTCTCCCATCCACTCTACCAATGTGTTGCCCCAAAATCGTAGATACATGTTCATTTTGTAGAGTACTCCACCTTACAGATTGCCATTACCAATGGTGAAATCCTTTTATTGACATCAAATACTAACAGTTGCACTCCTCCAAAAGAGCCTTTAAGGTGGCACACATCAACACCAGTGAAACTTTTACCACCTTTCTAAAATATTATTTTTTGTGCTTAAAAAAAAAAAAAAAAAAAAAAAGGCTTGAAATTTTGAATTCATAACCAAGTTAGTATCATATGCTAGTATACAACTCAAGTTTTTTTAATTTGTTTCAAGGCATTCTTCTGAATCATGCTACAACTACTTTCATTGTCTAAAAAAAATGATTTCCAATTTTTAATCTTGTATATTCATGATTGCTATGAATAACTTAAAACACATAACAAACCTATTTATATTAGGCCAATCCTAATTCTATGAGAACAAATAATTATAAAATAGGAAAACTTAAATGATTCCTAATAAAATTTCGGGAAAACAATTTAATTCCTAATATGAACCCCTAAATAAATAAGAAAGGAAAACAAAATCAAATCCTCAGTAACCATTAGAATGGGATGCCTTCTTTACAAATAAAAAATAAAAATTTTATATATTGTCTTTTCCTTATCATAAAACAAAAACTTAGTTTCAAATCAATATTTTTATCATAATTGACATATTTTAAATCTTCAATTAAAAATAAAATCATTATAAAATAAGGATTACACCATACAGATTGCGCAAGTAAATTGCAAGAATTATCAAACAACACGTATGGTCTTAAAGTTAATCACATAAAATGATGTGACACTCCTACTTCTTTCCACTCACTGCAAATACCAAAAGGCCATTTAGGTTCGCTTCAACTCACACTCAGAAAGAAGAAGAAGATGGAGACAAAGCCTACAGAGATCAGCAGCTCTAAGATGTTCGGTGGCTTCAACAAAAGATTTAAACATTTCAGCCCAACACTCGGCTGTTCCATGACTTTCCACATCTTTTTCCCCCCTTCTGCTTCTCCTTCCCACAAATTCCCCGTAATTTTTTTCTACTTTTCTGTTAATCTCATGCATGCACACTTACCCATTTTATTTTTTACATAAATCTTGAATCTGCAATATGAAATGTTTGATCTTGGCTCTTGTTTCCTTTAAAATCGACTAGGGTTTTACTGTTCTCACATGGGTTTTATTGTTTTTGTGAAAATGTATAATATTTTTATATCCCTTAATTCATATTCGGATGAAGTATTTCAATGAATAGTTTGGGCTTAATCTTCCTGTGTTTTTTTTTTTTTTTTGTTTTTTTTTTTTTTTTTATTTCAGAAATTTATGAACTTGATATCTCTGAAGTGTCAATTATTGATGATCAATGCTATGATCTATTTGTGGTTATCAAATAAATTCTCTTTTGGGGAATTTTTCGTATGGATTGTGATAGATTCACCATTTTTAGTTGTACAGTTTCTGTATTCTTAAGAGTTACCGTGTTTTTTGTCTATTTTGGAAATTTGGTCTATATATATATATATATATGAGGTGTATATGGTTAAGTGAGAACGCTCTTGTTACAGGTTCAGAGAGAAGGATGATAAAATGTGTTAATTTATTTGGATTTGTTTATATTTTTAGTAGATTAGAAAATGATAATATTCTTGATTTTATGCATGGACGCACATTCTGGTGTGTTGGTTTTTATGATAATTATAGTCTAATCCTATTGCTTTCATTATTTATTAGGTACTTTACTGGCTCTCAGGGCTTACCTGCACGGATGAGAACTTTATTATTAAGTCAGGAGCTCAGCGTGCTGCTTCGGCTGATGGTGTTACTCTAGTTGCCCCTGATACATCTCCAAGTCAGTCCTCACTCCTTAATTCTTGTACTTTTTAAGAGCAATTCCACTGCTACTCACTTTGATTATCCATTTGGAGATTCCTAGTTTGGTTGCATTTCAATTCTTAGTTTTGCTTCATGCCAATTTGTGATGTGGGTCAGATTTAGCTTGGTTGTGATCTATTTAAAGATCAAAGTGAGAATACCCAAATGCTGTCCACGTATTCTGCCCATTAAAAAGTATGACTATATTCAAATATTATAACGTCCACAGCATATTTCATAACTTTTTCCACTTTTAAACTATTGTCTTTTTTGAGCAAGAATGGAGCTTTATGGTTTTTGTTTGGTTTTAATGTAACTTAACCATACTTTATATAGGCTTTAAACTCCCTCATTCTGTTCTCCAGCTGAGTATCCTTTGAACGACAAGAAAACCATGTAAAGCCTCTAAATTTCTTTGTTATCAGTATATACCACTTGACCAAGATACCTCAAAATTTTGATCCTCTGGTTATCCCCAAAAAAGAATATAATAATAATAAATAAAATATAGTAAAATAAAAGATTATAACATCTTTGTTAGGATGCTGACTTCCACACTTATATAACATCAGCATGAACATCATTATTTAATGTAGCTAACTCAGCTTAATTTCTCTTCTTCTTATGATTGTTTGTGTCATTTCTCATTGGTATTGACTTAATATGATTATTGATTGTTTTGCAGGAGGCCTAAATGTGGAAGGAGAGGCAGATAGCTGGGATTTTGGTGTAGGTATGCATTATGGGGCTGTTAAACCTTATTCTTTTTGACTTTATATTAATGCATACCTAGGGTTTTATGGTCTTAACTGTATCAATTTGAACAGAATGGTTTGATTTATATGCGAATACTGTATCTCAACTTGCAGTACTAAGAAATGTAGCGTGGTTCATCATTTTGATTTGCAATATCTACAACCCTAATATGAAATTAACCTTTCTTTACCCTGCTTCAATTGCATGCTGTTATAAGTTGGACTTATTATATTCTTTTCAGCTACAAACTCTTAGAGAATAAAAGAAAGAAAGAATACAAAAGGTTTGAAGGAGCATGGTGTTGGTTCCTGCTTGTGCGCACGCATGAGAGGAACACGTGAAGCACCATGATTTCTTCCACCAAAATTTTACAATGAACTTACCTTATACACTAATTCCTGTTTACTCTTCCATTTAATCAATCATGCATGTTAATTCTTGTTTACATGGCCAAACTATTAGCTAGGAGATCAACTGGGAATTGAACTGAGCTTCTTCTCTCTCTCTTTTTTTTTTTTTTTTTTTTTTTCTTCAAATAGGTGCTGGATTTTATCTTAATGCTACACAGGAGAAGTGGAAAAACTGGTGTATGTATGACTATGTTGTCAAGGAGTTGCCCAAACTCCTGAGTGAAAATTTTTCACAGCTTGATACATCCAAGGCGTCTATATCTGGTCACTCTATGGGTGGGCATGGTGCTCTAACGATCTATCTGAAAAACCTTGACAAGTATAAGGTTGTTGAACCTGATATTTTCTTCGTATGACCTTGAAGTTTTATCACCATACAGTAGCTCTGCAATTCTTGATTCGTTTATTTTTGGAATCACAATGCTGGATGAAAAAGTAGATTATTCTAATTTTCCACTTTAGTTTTCATTTGGATGGACTGTAATTAATAGTTTATCATTCAGAGATAAAACTTATATGTTACTTTGGCTCTCAATTTACTTGTTTCTGTTTATTGATGTTTTTCAGTCAGTGTCTGCCTTTGCACCAATTGCCAATCCTATAAACTGTCCCTGGGGCCAGAAGGCATTCACAAATTATCTAGGTAGCAACAAAGCTGAGTGGGAGGTAAGGTTCTGAGTGATTTGAAAATTGTACTTTTTGCATTACTTGTGGTGTCAATGAAAATTCGAAAATGCAGGAATATGATGCCACTTCCCTTATTTCAAAGTACAAAAATGTGTCTGCTACCATTTTGATTGATCAGGTAAGACTGCAATGTCTTCCATTTTAAAGTTCACAAGGCATGATATGAAAGGTTGTCTGTTTGAAACTTGTATTGATAGCCTCAAATCTTGATTATCCTTAGTTTTGCAATGCTCTTCAGATACGGTATCTTCTCGCCTGTGTTTCCTCCTGGCTTTCGTATAACTTGTGTCTTGTGGTCTTCTAATCTATTAATGGGGTTGTGCTGTGCAGGGAGAGGATGACAAATTTGTGCAGGAGCAGCTACTGCCACACAAGTTCGAGGAGGCATGCAGGAGTGCTAATGTTCCGCTTTTATTGCGATTACAGCCTGGTTATGATCACTCATACTTTTTCATTTCCACATTCATTGATGATCACATCCGCCATCACGCTCAAGCTCTCAATCTGTAACTGTAACTGCTTTTTGCTCCAATAAACAGAGTGGTCTTTGAGATAATATTATTATGTTTTCATGTTAAGAACCAGATTCCTCTGACTTGGTACCAAGAGAAACTAAATACTAATGTGTTTGGCACGCGTGAAATTATTATTTCATTACATTATATAATGTTATAATAAATTATTTCTATATGGATTATGTTGTATCTAATTATTTTCCTCTTAACAAAAAACTGGTTATTGAAAATTATTTAACTAATAAATTCAAAACTTGAATGGGCTAGTATTGTATTGCTCGATAGAAATCAAAACGACGGTGAAACACTGATCAATGCTGATTAATACTTAATACAGTGTTTTGTTATCAAATATTGCAGTTTACTTAACCAGTCATAAACACTAATACTTTGTTTTTTAATATTCCTATCATAATGTATGGTTCAGGTTCAGGCTCAGGTTCTTTGTTGATGTAACCATAGTTCCTGTTAAACACATTATAGAATAGAAGACCACCATTAACTTGTAACATGCCATGCCATGACAACACTAATTTACGGTGGCTCAAATAATTCAAAATAATAAAAGGTCACAGGCAAATCTTCCAAAGGACCCTACCAAATGTTTAGATTTCATAGAATGCTATAAATTTATCTCATCAAATACACATATTTTCTAAGAAAAGTTACCACCCAGCCCACACCATCTTATTATTTGGTAATGGCAATGGGTTGTACATTACAACATCTAAAATTTATATTTAAAAGTACAGCCAAATGTAGGAGTAAACCTATCTATACATTCTAATGCCATATCGAGCAAATCCAAAAACAATATGTTATTTATATTTACACATTACTATACACTGCTCATTTACTCCCTTCATTCTGCTCCACAAGTCTTTGCTACAACACAGCAGCTTCAAAAAAAAAAAAATTACTTTTCGGCCAGCTAACTGATAGCTTTTGATCAATTGGATTGAAGCTTCTTTATCCACTATGGTATAACAGGTTATTGTGTTATCATACTTTAAAATATTTGATTCAGCTACTCCTCGTCAACCACCAGAACCAAACTCATGCATAGGTTGATACTGGGTCTGCTCTGGAACTATGGAGGGTGTGGCAGTGAAAGCTGGTTCGAGACTTTCATTCACACTCTTCTTAGGTCTCTTTACCCTCTTTGACCTCTGCGATTGTGGATCTGTATTTTGAAAAGGATCATCCAACTCATAGTTAACCAATGTAGAGTTAGAGTTAGCTTCGTTCATCTTTTGAGCGTTCCTTGACTTTGGAGTTTGCTTGTTAGATGCAGCTTTCCTCTGAACAAAGACATCTTTCGTTTTAAAAGAAATACAAAAAGACAACTTAACAGTAACACAATTTTCTCACAGCAATTAACATTTATTCTTAATAGCTTTTGAACCAAGTTCCGTTTTACAATTCAGGTTTTATTGTAATAGGAGATCATTAAGAAGTCATAAAATTTATAGTCCTGGTTTTTAATTGAAAATATTCTGAATTTCATTTAATTGGTGTAATCACCACACAACCACCCCTGAAAAATTAGACTAAAAACATAATCCGGACACTACTGCTCCCCAAATAAATAAAATGAAAACTTTCAGTAATATCAAAAAGTAGCCAACCCAACATAGAGAACTAAGAAACATCATTGCAGGTAACCGTTGATGTTATCACAACTTATCTGCAAACACAACCACCAGCAACTAGACCCAGATCCAATAGGAATTATATTTTACTCAGGATACTAGAGAATTCTTCCGATTTAAACATATCCGTCAAAATCATTGTATTTAATAGTGATGTGTCTAGATTGCTCTTGCTGTGTTCCTGATTAAGCTGAACATGATATCTGTAGGTTGTCAGCAACCTTGAGCAGTTAGCCGAGCGATCATGCTAGTGATTTTCTCACAAAAGGTCTAAGATTCAATTCTTTAGGGCCACCAATCTGGCAATAAACAAGAAGTTTCTTGCTTCCCAAAGACATTTGGCTTCAGTAGGAGCCCAAGTTCAAACTCGAATTTTCTAAGGCAGGTTTGGGTAACCCTTAAAAAGTAACATACAGTAAAGACTACCAAAAACAATCCTATCAAGATACAAGCATGAAATGTCAAAACCTCCATACCTTTTTGTTACTGGATGTTGCTTTCTCTGGATCTAAAGAAGGCTCCTGTGCCGCACCCTGAGCTCCAGTATTTGTTATATCTTCCCAAGATGCATCACCTTCAGCATCCAACAGTATACCTCTTGTGGGCTGTTTTTTCTTTTGTCTATCCTTCGTCTGAAAGGATATGACTTAAATATAAGTTAATAAATTCTAACAACAATTTGATTTTTCTTTCTATTTTCACATTTATCCTTGTTCTCTTTCTTGAAGAAAGAGGGATGGATTATTATACAAGAGATGAACGGACAGATGAGAAATGAAAAATATCAAAAAATGAAAACTTCACCTGTACTGGAATTTCTTTTAATTTCTGCTCCAACTGGGCATCATCCAGAAGTAAAGACACAACATCCTCGGGAGCCATGATATCTCCCTGGACATGACCACCTGTCATGACAAGTTGTTGCACAGTATTCTTCTGGCTTGCTCTTTGCAGAATCTTCTCTTCAACAGTCTCTTTACAAATAAGGCGGTAGACAGTAACCTACAAGGAAAATACATACAAATTTCAAGTAAAGAAACTCACGGCTACTGTTCAAAACATGAGATTTAAAATACCAATCCTGCCCTTAAGGATTACACATGAGATATAAATTGTATTCCTCTGACATAGCAAATGAAAAAGAATGAAAGCAAAGCTAATAACAGTACTGTATTGCAGATTTAATAACTAAAGAGCTAAATTATATGCCCCAAGTGCAAACATAAGAAGGGAAAAGCCTTATAAGCAAAGATTCTACACATAAGCAAAAAATTTAGTGGCTATCCTTGGCCATTTACCAGAACATTCACATACCATAGCCTTAGTCAAAAGGAAGAGAAAAGATTCAGGAATGAAAGCAAAGCAGGCAGCAAAAATGTATTAGATTTCACATAACAAAAGAGCTAAATTCTGTGTATCCTCCAAGCCCAAACAGAAGAAGGGAAAAGCCTTATATGCAAGGATTCTCCACAAACGCAGAAAAATTAATGGCTATCCTAGGCCATTCATCAGACTATTCTCATGCCACTAGATTCATCAATAGAAAGAGAAAAGAATCAGGCAGGAACTAACATCCTTTGTCTGACCCAACCGGTGAGCTCTGTCCATAGCCTGTAAATCCAAAGTTGGATTCCAATCACTTTCATAAAATATGACAGTGTCAGCAGCAGTCAGGTTAATACCCAGTCCACCAGCTCTGGTACTTAGCAAGAAAACAAAGATATCACTCCTGCAACCAGAAAGACAAAATAACTTATTGAAGTAGCATAGTAGAAGAAGCTTCTCAACAAAATTATCGCATGTAATGAAATCCCTACCTGTGCTGGAAGTCTCTGACCATATCTCGTCGATCCATAATAGTGGAGGATCCATCAAGTCTAAGATACCTATATTTCCTATAGTTCATATAATCCTGAAAATATGAATGAGTCAACACCAGAACAAACTTTCCATGGAAAAAGTCCAAGCATAAGGATTCTCTTTTGAAAGAGTGGCAAATGAAGTATAAATTAAATGTCTGGTAATAGGTAAAGCTGATGTATAATAGGTTTCTTAGGGTTTGACTTGGCCATTATATATATGGGTTGTCTTAATGTGTGCTCTAAGACAACTAGAAAACAAAAAATTTAATATATCAATGCATTGGAAATTGTGTGTGCGTGTGTGTGTGTGTGTGTGTGTGTGTTTTGTACATAAAGTGGATTGAAATAAGCAAAACCATTTTTTTTGGAGTTCACAAAAGTTCCCCCCAATTCCTCTTATTTTCTCCCCTTTTTGTTCTTCTTGTTTTCTCTCCTTTCTTCCCCCCTTTCTCTCTATTTCTCTCATTTTCTACCTACTTGTCCTACATCAAAAGCTTTTGCTTTATTTATTGAAAAACTTATTTTTAATCCATCAGGTTGTACTCAGTCAACTAGACAACTGTACCAAGCATATCAGAAGATGTTAAGAGCTTGAGCTACCACTATGAACAAGCTAAAACCTAATTAAGGGAAAATTATGAGGTCTCAGTTACAGCTGCAAATGCAGGATCATGGAGGCTTTTTAAACCGCACATTACAAAGCTAATAACATAATTCACCAAAAAATATACATAGTAACATAAACTTGCAAAACCCGCCCAAGACACTAATAAATATCATAGCATTAAAAGTAATAAATACCTCAAGAATATTGAGCATTTTTGTCATTTGTGCAAACAAGAGAATGCGGTGGTTTTCTGCTCGCAAACGTTTCAACAATACATCAAGAGTTTGAAGCTTCCCAGAGTCCTATATTGGAAAAAAATTGAAAAAATTCCAATCTCAAGGACACATTACAAGATTATTAGATCATAAAGAGAGAACAAAAGGAAGAAATATTCATACTGTGAGCAACTTTGCAGGATCAAAGCTTTGCATAGGTGGACAAGATCCAAATATCTTGTACGGTAATTCAAGAGCAGGCTGTGTAACAGATAGCTCAGAATCAATTTCTTGAATCAAATGATGTGGACTATCTGGCTTTCTGGGTCCATTAAACTCAGATGTGCGTGCAAACCCAACCAACAACCTCTTGATCCAGGGTTGATTTCTTTCTTCAGTTATCCTGTAAGCAAAATTCCTATTCGAGCATTGGACATTTATCTATCAAGGAAAAAATGACCGTTAATTTAGATACTGCCCCAGGAAAAAGAATGGAAATAGACAATATTTAAACATACCGGGGGAGCTCTAGCACGTGGGATAAATGAATAAGTTGCATGAAGAAGTTTAATGTTTGATAGAAGTCTTTCCTGCTGAGAGACAACTAAATCCTCAAATGGAGCATATCCAGCACCCATAGCAAATTTCCTTCTAAGTAAATTGGTATCCGATCTTGACGGAATCAACAACAAGCGTGTAACGGCTCTTACTTTCCCACTATCCACAAGATCGTTGTTCAGCTTATTATCCATGCTTTCCATGAGTAAGTCTATGATTCCATCCAAAAATTGGCGGTCCCATCTCAAAATAGAAAATAATAGTTTCTCCAGGAAAGAACTATTTGCTATAAACGAAACTTCTGCTGGGGACAAATCCATCAAATGGGTAAAACCAAAAGTCCCACTTTTGACAGGCAATGCATCTGAGCTACTCTCATGAGAATGTACAGATCTATAAACATTTTCTGCTGTGAATATATTAAAACGTTTCTGAAACAATTCGCTGAAGATTCCTCGCCCAACAGATGAGCAAAAAGCTTCAGAACTTTGAAGAATCTCTTGGTGGACTAACTTTGGTATCTGGAGACAGAGAGGATGAAGTCTTAGCAATAAATAACACCAGGAGTTCCCCCAAATAATGGAACTAGGGATAAAACACAAAATTCAAAAATTGTTTTTAACCATCATTATCTCTTCCTCTCCCGCCACACAAAAAAGTTATCCTGCTAGCACCTCAATTTTTTCTTTAAACAACGCGCCCCATCCTGCGGGAGCCCCCCCCCCCCCCCAAAAAAAAAAATGTGTACAAACATGCATTCTTATGCGTAGACACACAAAAGAGAGACTTTAGCCTGAGACAAAAACAGCATTTTCAGCCTAGGGCAATACAGATAAAATGGAACTGACAAAGTACCTTATACTCTATAGGATTCTGACTCCCAGAATAGTGTATATCCTCCAACTCCCCAAATGGAGGAGGTAGAAGGGAATTTGGAATTTCTCCAAAATAAAGATACGAGCTTCCTTCATTCCTTTCAAACAACTCCGGATGATTACAAACCTGCACTCACAAACACAACACTCAATGGTTCAAATAATTACGGAATCAATTCAAACAAAATTCAAATTTCTGAAAGTCAGCACTGCTGATTATGTTAGTCACATATGTGAAGAATAGGCATAAATGAAGGAACCCCAAAAGAATAGCCTACCTTTCTCAATTGAATGACAATATTCATCAAATTCATAATTTTCTTTTCGTTAAGATGACCACGGCTGCCGTCAAACAGCCCAGCGAGAGAAATCTTGTTCTTAATAGCCTGATAAAAAGCTTGTTGCCTAGAACTCAACTTGCAGTTTACTGTAACCTCAGTTTTTGTAGTCAGCTCAGTAATGACATCTTTCTTAACTCTTCGCAGCATAAAGGGTTTTAAAATTGCATGCTGTCAAAATAAAAGAACAAAGATAGGTTCAGAGACACCAATCCCACAAGTTAATGGAACTATCTTCAGTTCCCAAAACCGGGGCAAGGTATTGTATATCTTCACTGGCTAGAAAGAATACTGTTAGATTGAAATAGATGCTATAATTTCTATGGTAAAGATAGGTTCACCAAATAAACCAGCAAGGGAACACAACCATCATAAGTGACGGTTGGAGATGGTACAAGATAAATTCATGTGAACCTCACAACGTTGACCACAGTTGTATATACATATGGGATAAACTTGACAATAATAAATGATCTAATTTCACGATGCAAATAGCTTCACCAAAAAGAACAAATGAGGGAAACAACCATTATAGATAAAGGTTAAAGATGATACAAGAGAAATTTGATGAAGTGCAACCCTGACCAAATGATAAGTGTGTGTATACATATACACATCAGGTGAATGCAATTTAAATGGCCTAAATTACCTTAAACATGTTTATTTGAAGGGTGCACCAATTGTACACATTAGATGTAATATCAACCATAAATATTTATCTGAAATTCAAAAATTAAGTTTCAATTGGTTAAAAATTGTCATTGATCTTGTCCTACATCTAGCATTATATGTATAATATACTACAGCACTAATGATTATGAATATAACATACAAGCCCTTGACACACATGGTGTGAGTCATCTTTTAATTGAGTCTCCCAAACCTGAGAGATGTCTTATGTCACATCTCTACGATACATGGAACTGGAAATAGTAATAAAAATTTTGATAACTGCCAATCATGTAATTATACACTCTGCAACAAAACATTTCTTTATCATAACGCATCATATGAGACAAAAACAAACTACACAGAAATGAAAATTAATTAATCATGCATGAAATAAAATTATCAAGAAAAGCACTCACCAATCTGTTAAGCTGATGCTCATTCAAGGTACCCCCATGCTCTGCATGACTCTCGATTCTGATGGTATAAGATGGAAAATAATTATCAAAAGCTTTCAGTTTTCCCATCAAATTTGTTCAAAGTAAACAGAAAATGAACGTGAGATATACAAACCCTTTAGAAAACCACTCATTAAACTGTTCATGGCTATCAAACAAGGTTGGCATGATGAAATGCAGAAGGGCCCACAATTCTGCCATGTTATTCTGGATAGGTGTGCCAGTCAGAAGCAAACGATTCCGACAATTAAAACTGAGTAGAGTCTTCCACCTTATACTGTCAGGTCAAACATTCAGCTGGTTACAAATGAGAATTAAGGGGTTTACATATATTAAATATATGCAAAACAAAAAACCTGAGGCAGATAATAGCTACATGATAAAAGTATGATACTGCAAAAAAGCTCAACAACAAAAATCTTCAAAAGATACTATACATTTAGTTCGTAAACTCAAGACCCTTGTTTTAAGTTTGAAGAAAAAGATTAAAACCTGTTAGAACTTTTGATGGCCTGGGCTTCATCCAATACCATATATTGCCACTTCACACGACGAAAATACTTCTCATCCGCCACAAGTAGTTGGTAGCTGGTAATGAGAATATGAAATCCAGCTTCTCTGGAGAAAGAGAAAGAAAATTTCAATGTTAAATAAATGCTTATTTTATATACTTACAAAGTGAAAAATAAAAGAAAAAAATTATCTTTCTAACATGCTAACTCGAAGAAGCATCAAGACAATTACTGGAGGCACAAACTCAAAAGTCAGCAGCAGTCTGAAGCTAAAGTTGGATGAAATTGGTCAATAATCTGGGCATCTAAAACATTAAGGTTGATTTTTTATGGCATTAATATTCAATTTTCTTTTAATACACTCACATGAAAAGATTTTATTTTTCACTAGTTCAAAGTTGACTTTCTTTCAGAACTGTCTACATCCAAAAAAAAAATGCCAGTACATGTTTAAGGAGCATTACTTAGATTTAATACACTTGACATGTATATGGAGCTGTATAATAGATGTCTACCGCAATTACTATCATTGTTTTACTATGGAGTAAAGAAAATTATATGGATGTAAGATACCTTCTATAAAGACGCTTTGGATTGATGTTCTTTCTAAGAACTGTTCGCTCTTGAAGTCCACCCCAATATGGAAGAGTTTTCAAGTCAGGGCAAAAACGACTAATTTCATCTGCCCAGTTATTCAAGACAGAAGCAGGAGCAACAACCAAAAAAGGACCCCATATGTTTTTCTCCTGCGTAAAACAGCGAAATGAATCAATGTAAAGACAAATCTACAGATGTGGAAAAACAATTAGAATTATTACCTCAGCCAAATGAGCCAAAAATGCCATAGCTTGGATAGTCTTTCCCAGTCCCATCTCATCAGCAAGAATGCCATTTAAACCCTGATGGCCAACCAGGGACATTTTATGTTAGCAAATATGTAAAAATAAGCTCCTGAATAAGCATTCGTTCAGGGTTACAACCTGCTCATAACAATTAACCAGCCACTGAAGGCCTTTTAACTGGTATTCTTTAAGGGAACCTTTAAACAACTCCGGTGTTTGAACTGTTGATGTTACAGGCATGGTGGAGCTGGATATAGAAGTAAAGAATTTCATTAAGCTTACTTAGGAAAAAAATAAGAAAAAAAATAATAATTGCCCAAAGCATCTCAGCTTTAAATAAAAGAAAAAGGCAAACAAAATAAAAACTTACGGGTTATGTAGATCTATGTTGCTAGATCCTGCAACTGCATCTAATAAAGAAGCATCAGTCTCAGCAGCTTCACGTAACTTTGAACATTCGGTATCAAAAGTACTGGTTAACATTTTCTGCTTAGAGACGGCAGTTTGAGCAGCTAACATAGCCTCCTTTTTCAGTTCTGCCTCTTCAGGATCCTCTTCTTCAACAACCTCAACATCTGTTGAGCACAAAAGCACTTCTTGGTCATTTGGTTTTTCATCTCCTGCAGGCAGAGCTTCAGAGGGCTGTGAATTCGACTTGTTTTGCATGAAGTGACTGTAAAGTTCTGTTTGCTGAATGAGAAAATTAAGCCTTTGCTGCTGTCGCTTTGCTTCTCGAAGTTCCTGCTCACGCCTCAAAGCTTCTGCAGCTTCTCTTTCCTCCCTTTTTCTCACTTCCGCCTAAAAGGAAAGGGACTAAGTATCACAGAACCTTATGCAAATGTACAGCATGAAGTGCCCAACTTTTTTTTCTTTTATATAAGAAACTAAAAGTTTTGTAGACTGCTCTTTTTACTGTCTCAACATAATTAACAAGTATTGTATTTTTAACATAATTCTTTTACTCATTAGCTTTCGAACTCAGTTCCAGCTTAGAAACCAATAAGCAAATAAACCATGCTTCCCTCAATAACAAACCATCATGAACAATGTCATAGAAATAAACTTTCAGATATTGGCAATGCAGGTTCTAGATTACCAATTAGGCTTAAAATGAACATTGTAAGACATGTTTACTTTAAAAAATTGAACCTTGGTGATGGACACACGAATGAAAATAAGATAACTATGATACATGCATCAAGTAGAACAAATAGCAAGTAAACTTCACAAAGAAAACAGAAAGATACCATCTCCTTATCAACCCGCTTCCAAAACATTAGCATGTCTCTAGCCAATTTCCTTGTGCGAATTGCAGCACTCCTCATCAACTTGAGAGATCTACTCACTTTCATTTTAACCTATTATTAAAATCAATTGATCTAAAGCATCAGGATATATTACGAGAAAGATCAAAAGAACTCATCAACAAGTTGACATGAAAAAATACAAGTACCACTATAACTACTACATATCATTATACATGCCTCTCTTTGACAGTTCTCAGAGAACCTCTTGGCATCAATTAATTGCTTCCGGTGGAAAGTAGTAAAAACCCTATGATGCTTTGGTATGTCTCTTCTAACAATGTTAACCCAAACTTTTCCAATCTTTTCCATTTCTTCCCTCTCAATCACAGAAGGGTCTTTCTTTACCTTTGGCTTTTTAGGGAGAGCACGTTCAATAATCTGCAATAAAAACTAAAGTGAGATTTAAGTAGAGAAAAAAGCCATCACCAGACACCTATGAAAACAAAAAGAAGAGCTATTAACATCAAATGACTGTGATCTAAATAGAAAAAAGACCTCATATGTATCTCCTTTCTCCAGAACCTTCACATAGTAAACCTGCAACACACCACCTTCTGACAGAATAGACCGTTGTATACTTCCAGCTGCCCCCTCTGGGATTGAAGAATTATCAATATCAGACACCGTGAGACTGAACTTCTGGGAGTCTGAGGCTGCCAAGCCCTTCAATTTTGCCTGAAGAGATTCATATTGAGGCCGGGCCTCTCCCATCCCACCTCCACTTCTAGGTCCAAATCTTTTATCACTGGCCATCATTGCCACTAAGGACCCCAAATCTAAGGTACCCTTCAAATAAAACTCCTCCACTTGAATATCTGAAAAGCTAGGTAAGTTTAAAGATGCTGCCAGCTTATCATATGTAGGAGGGATCCTGTAAGTGATACCCTCCCCGATATCCAAATAAGCAGGTTCGTACATTACTCTGCAAAGCATAAACATAAATAAATAAATAAGAATACACTACCCCCCCAAAAAAAAAAAAAAAAAATACTAAGTTAGTAATCAATTATATCGTATAACAACACACCATATTTTCTAAATCTAATTTTATGTATTCCCAACTCAAACTACAGCTAAATGATTCAGCACACATGACATATCAGCTACATACTTGGGGGTGAATTCTGCATCATGATAGTTCACAGGCCTTTGAGGACTAGCATCATTGAGCCAATCGGATGTTGTTTCCATTTCATATAATCCTCCTCGCTGTTCACTCCCCAATTTCCTAGATTTTAAACCACCACCTAAATTAGTCTTCGGACTAGGAATCCTCATTCTAGGGAGAACCGGAGTAACAGGGGATTCCTTGAACCTCCTCTTGTACTTCTGGATGTGTTCTCCAAGCATTGATCGATACCTTTCCTCTGTTATGTGTGTTCCATAATATTCGTTATCTTCCTCCTCGTCACTATTGTGAGACCGCTTCTTTATCTTCATTAAGTCAGACATTGTCCCATTACTGTGATTCAACCTTGCTCCACCTATTTAGTAACCAACAAAAATACACAGGCACAATGTACACATGCATAAGTTCACAGCTGTATACCACGACTTCTCTATCACCATTAAAATCAGTAATGCACGTATATTTATCAACTTACAAAAACAGAGAGTAATTTTGTGCAACAAAAGTGAATTCACAAGCACAAAACTCAAACCGCTCTCGTAATTTTATGTGGAAAAAAAAAAAGTTTAAAACAAAGTGTACCTTGGCTACCTCTGCTCTCATCCTGACTACTATTCCCATAATAATCAAAATCATCATCTTGTTGAGGAAGTTTGAAGTTCATCAAAGACTACAAAAAAACCCAAAAACACAAAAATAAAAATAAAAATCCAGAATCAAACTCCATTTTAATCAAAACAAATGAAAACAACTAAGCAAAATTCAACATGCCCAATTCACGCAACCCGACTAAAAAAACACAAAAATTGTTCCAAAACCCTAAAATTAACAAATCCATACTACCTAATGAGAAACAAACGAAAGTGTAATTAAAAGAAAAAAAAAAAAAGGAAAACCCATTTAAGAAGAACTTTTATGTGACAAACCTCAAGATTGAAGAGATTCGGGTAGGGTAACGAGTCCTTCGATTGCTGTCTCCTCTGGTCCATGAAGAGACTGTGAATACAAAAGCCCTAACTCCAGGCTGGTTTTCCAAGAGCATAGAAAAATTGATTTTGTTAAGAAAAAGAACGAAAAAACCCAAACCCTAGGAGAAAATATTTGAAAATGTCGAGACAGAAGACAATGTGGGGTGCCTAGAATAAGATGGGTAGAGCGAGAACCAGGACGCCCGTAGTAGACAGACGCTGTTGGATGATGCATCACCGAACACTAACGTGCGCCGAATAGGTGTCATTTGTTAACGTGTGCTACTGTTTTTTCTTTTTAGACGTCCAAGTGGGGTGGCAGCGCGAAAGAGTGTCAAGCTTTTAATAAGTTGCGGGGTTTTTCCTAACCAAAAATGGTTATATCATAAGAATGGCTCCGTTTGGTACACAATTTTGTATTTTTGGGAAAATTTTTTTGAAAAAAGTTAAAAAAAAGTTGAATTAGCCGGGTATTACGATGTAAGATTTATAAATTATAAAATACTCCCTATGTTTATTTTTTTACAAAACACCCCTTATAATAAAACATTAAAAGTTAACAAAAACACCCCCAATCCACCCTCAAATACGGACAGCCGGCCACCACCGCCGGAGGGTGGCCGGAGTCGCCGTAACAAAAACATTAAAAATATTTAGGGGTATTTAATTGAATTAACAAATTTAGGGGGTTTAAAAAATGTTGAATAATATTGTGAGTTTTTAGGAATTTTACTGTTTAACTTTTTTGGGAATACTAAAAGTAGTATTCCCAAAATCCAGCCAAACGAAGCCATTGTATTATTGAAAATATTATATTAATAAAAAGATAAATTATTTTAAAAATTATTAAAAATATTTAAAAAAATATATTTGATTAAGTTAGAATAAATGTGTGGATATGTTATATTGATATATTTAGTTGAAAAGATAAATTAGTGAGTATGTTCCGAGGTGAACTAGACTAGTTGCCCACCTCAATTTTGTTTTTTTTTTTTTAAATACTAATAAGGACAATTTCTAGATTTCAACCTACCCTAACAAAAATATTAATGTGTAATTAGTTTTTATTTTAGTCGACCTTAACAGAAATTTCTGGATCCACTATTGGGTATATTATATAGATTACTAAATCACTCTCCTTTTTAAATATTAATATAATATTATTTTTTGAATCATTTATTTTAACCCTCTACATTTGAATTTTTGCTACACCTTAACCATATAAAAATTTAATTTATAACAAAATCACTCACACCAACCCGAAGCCACTGTCAATCACCGACCACCACCATCGGTCGTCGTTGGCAGCCGCCTATACAGAGCACGACTGACCAGATCTAGTCGACCATGCACCGATATGGTTATTTTTGGCCAGATGACCATGGATTTGGCCGAAAACAGCCAAATTTGTGGTCGTTGTGCGCCATGAATTTGGTCATTAATGGCCATATATATTCCAACATTGTGCACCAAAAATTTGGGCGTTAACGGCCAGATCTACGACCATCTCCAGCCATCGATCTGGCCACCCGCTAGCCCTCACCGTCTCTGGCCAGATCTATGGCTATCTGGTCGTGCGTCATTCCGACGATTGTCAATGATGGCCGCTAAAGGCTAGCGATGGTTGGCCAGCGACTGACGATGTGGGCTGGCGGGCGATAGTGGTCTTGGATGGCCTACAATTTGTTTTAAATATAAAGGTAGTTTGTCTAAAAACTTAATTAATTTGGAGTAAAATTGTAATGGCAAGTTCATCTAAATTAATTTCAAAATAAGGGCTTTTTGTCTAAAAAATTTATTAATAAAGGATAAACTTGTAATAAAATTAACATTACCAAATAATCTTAAAATATTGAAGAAAATGAAAGTAATCGGATTATCATCTATATAACCAACATTAATTACTATTGATTTTAGAAAATTATCGAAATTTTATATTACTTAATAACCAAACATAATAATCTAAGTAATATAAAATAACATTATCTCAATAATAAGATAACCCCAACCAAACAGCCTTGAGAAATATGCTAATTGAACGGTCCTAAGAGCATCTTTAATGGTGCTCTTTATTTTGAAGGGTATCTTTCACATAAATAAATAGTATCTTTATTGATTTTTAAATATAAAGAACAAATTTTTTATTCAAATCCAATAGACTTTTTAAATTTTAGGAGAGAGAATATGTTTTTTCAAGAAATAAGCTTAATAGGAGAGATAAATAAAAAATAAAGTGCATAGAAACTTGCAATTTATTATTTAAAATTAGGATAGAAAGTGAAATTTAACTCTCTAAATGTGGAGAGTCAAACTCACTCTTTAAAAGGTCAGATCTATGGCCAGATGTGGTCGTCGACGGCCACAAAAGTCCATCTTTATGGCCGTAGTTGTCAATCAACGATGGCCAAGATTTGGCCGTCGTTGACCATTAACGACGACCATTTTTTTTGCCGTTGCTGACGGCCAGATCTGGCATTTTTCGACCAGATCAAACCGGAAAAGGCTAGATCGGTGAATTACCAGCCAGTTTCAGTTGTGGTGTAGGCCGTTGTGACAGATTCTGACTACCACTGATGGTGGTTGCCGGAATCTGGCAAGTATGGGTCAGTGGGGGTGTTTTTATTAATTTTTAAACTTTTTTCTAGAGGTATTTAATGAAATTAATGTAAGAATCAGCATGCATGAAGAGTGGTGGAGATGGAGAATGAAAGCATGAAAGCATGGATTCAAAAAAACCGGTTTTTAAACAAAGCATGGAAATGAGATTATACATTCTCCTTTGCTTTGGATTGATGAAGATTAGCCCCAAAAAGATGAGACCTCCACACTTTAACACCACCTTGAGAGGTTTAGAGAGTGGTCGTGGCTTTTAGAGAGAGTTTTAGTTTTGCTTTGAGTGAACAATGTGTGTTATGAACAAAAATGCAACCTTTTGCATTTATATATACTTGGACAATTTTGAAATTATTTATTTTTCACTTCCAAGCCCAATAAAATCTTATTTTATAAAGAGACCCCACAAATTTATTATGCTACCCTTTGAATAATCAATATTATTCAAGGGCCCATGTAAACTAAACTAGTTTACATTAACAACCCATAAATTTACCCTTTTACCCTTTAACTATTAAAAGGTTATTTTTGTTCATCTCATTAAATCTTAACACTTTAAGATATAATAATTAAATATAATTAATTATTGCTTGACCATTTTAACCCTTAAAATGTCACAAACAATTTTCTATGTAACTATTACCATAGAAATCCCGTTATTACCCTCGGAAGGTGCTAGCCCTCTTCGGATAATCATTTCTCTCTCTCATCCTTCTCTAACTTCTCAAGGCTATTGGTGTGACCATGTAGGTCCACCGTGGATTAGCTGTGAGCCAGTTCTGGAAGAATCCGAAAACTTGTTCGGAGGCCCAACGACTATGGTAAACATCTAGCAATGTGCCATAGTCCCTAAACCACGATGAAGAAATACTTCATCAAACCCATTTCAGATCATACGTACCATGCAGGTAAAGTCCCTCCATTGAGATATCCTGATCGAGCACGGATTCATGGAACGTCAAAATCCTAAACTCGATCTTCTACCGAATTGTCAATCAATATGTCCGGAACTCGTCATCACAAACTGCTTTTGTATGACTAATAATAGACTCTGGCCAGAGATTCTGTTTTCTGACATTTATAGATGTTCGTCTAGGAACTCGAATCCGGATGGAGTCAGCAGTACTCCCGATCCTATATTTTCAAGTCAATGGATGCCCTCTTGAGCATCATTCGTTTCCGCATATGAACAACGCATGACCAAATAGGCTTTATTGTACGAAACATGATTAGTCTCATGCTTATACACCGTATGAACCATACGCATCCATATCGGATCCGACTACAATGTCTCAGGTCAAAGGACTACATCGTGCACTGATATAACCAAACGATAAATCATTGACTACATGCTTTTCCAAGTGATTTGTTGTTATTCGGTCACGTTCGAAAAACAATTCACCAACCGTTAATCCATACCAATGCCCTAGTGACATGACTATCATTGTCATCCGTACTTATATCAACTCATGATATCTTTCGAAAGCATCCGATATGCCTATTGTGCAATATAGTTGTCTAAATTATATTGCTTCCGTAGGGAACCCTTTTGGATAATTCATTTACCTATTCAATGAATCATATGGATAATTCATATACATGCTTTATTTTAAATGCATGACTGAATAAAGGAAGCAATTTACATATATGAATTGAAGAACTCTTTCTTCTATTATTTATGATATATATAGATACAAGACAAAATGCTCTGAAACCGACAACACGAATGGTTTCTAGGGCATACACTAATATACACTAACAATTAATAAACTTAAGGGATCTAAAAGTAATTAAAAAATAGTAATATTTCTCAAATAATGTGCCAAACAATATTTGGGGAATAGGATTGGGAATATGGGTAAAAATATGGAACCAAACGCACCCCATGTTTTTAATGACTTCGACAACCCTATAAGAATTTAAAAAAGAAAAAAAAAATAGTAAACACACTAATTATAGCCATGATCAGGATATTGAAAAGTCTCACTTAGAAAACCCAAACATCGCTTAAACAACAATAAAATTCTAGGAAATAACTCCAATTCCTAAAATTAAGGAAATCATAAATAAACTTTTAAGAGCATCTATAATGGTACTCTTTAAAATATTTTAAAAGAACATCTTTAATATAAATAAAGAATATTTTCATTAATATCTAAATATAATAAACAAAATTTTTATTCAAATTTAATAGTTTTTTAAATTTAATGAAGATGTTTTTTATTTTAAAAAAAAAAAGACTTAATAAAAGAGAGAAATTAATAAATAAAATGTATAGAAACTTTTAGTTTATTAATTAAAACTATAATAGAGATTGAAATTTGACTCTCTAGATGTAGAGAGTGAAATTTGACTCTCTACTCACTCTTTAATTTATATTTAAAGTATAAAGAATATGTTGGACTCTTGTTTTTATAGATATACTCTATATAATAAAGAGTTTAAGTCATATAAAGAGACATTTGGAAATGTTCTAAAAAACTAGATTCAATTCCCCTTTATACGTGGAATTTCGTTCAATATGGTTGCTGTTTGAGGCACACCTGAAGCATTTGGCCCAAAACAGGAAGCAAGGTCCATTTCCACCATTTGGGTTGAAAACTCCCCTATTGCAGGATGAATACCCTAGGATTTTTGTGCTGTAACATGGGTTGAACTAGTGCTGCAAATGAACCGAGCTG